ACAGCAAGCTGAAACCATAAAACTGGAGAATTTCACAGAGAGCCTTAAAGACGTATCCCCGTTAAACTTTCTGTAACACTAAAGCAATCCCATGTCTCAGCAATAGGCCGCAGTTTGCTTCATCAACACCGCAGTGTGTTTTTGTTCTAGTGTGTTATAGATTTCATGGCGGTAATATTTCCTGGAAAGCAAGGAATTGTTCAGTACGACCGTATTATTCCTTAGATGGAAACCTCACGGGGAGGTTTCATCACAGTTACGGGGTCACACAGTGTTCACAGAGAAATGACTTCCTGTGAATGAGGGGAGCAGCGTCTCTTTCTTTTCTTTTTGCACTTCAGAAATCATAAAATAGGCCAGTTTAACTTAGTTTACTTCCGTCTCCAAGGACGTGACACTGCCAATCGACACCGAGACCAGGCTGGATTTTAATTCACTGTATTCTGAAAGAGCAATACATTTGCAGTTCCTCTGGCAAGTTATTCATTTTATTCAATGGCAAACGTGAGTTAGTTCCCAAGCTGCTCCTTTTTAGAAAGAAACCATTTCCATGAGAGGAGCTGGACGCAAAAAGAGTCGTGTAATTCGCCGAGGTCCATCCTCTGACACCCGCAACCACGCAGTGTCATCGGGGAGAGGGAAGGAAATCACTTAACCGCTGACAAATGGACGCGGGAGAGGTGCTATGCTCTGGTTCATCTCAGCGGATTAATGGAGCCACAACCTCCGCTTACTTTTTCATAGCTGAAGGTGAAGCATTATTCCTCCTCGACGTGCATGTTTAGTAATAAATGGCGCTGATAACGTCCTGGCTCGCTGAAGTATAGTTGCATTGCTCTTCTCCGTTGAGCCAAATGAATTTCCTCCATCAAGAAAATAATGCACCTCCCTCTATGTGGTGTTATGATCGAAGGTTAACGTGCTGGAACAGATATTGGTATGTGAACCGGCTGTGGAGCAGCTGTTTTTTTTAAACGTTTCTGGATACTTTTAAAGAGAATGACTGATCGCTCTTTTAGCCTGGATATCTTTTTTTTATATTTTTTGGCTTCAAGCTATGTATATTTTTCTACAAAACTCCTTTTTTGATTTACAAAGAAGTCAAATATGTCAAACATTAAATCTAGTACCCAGCCCTATACTGCAGCTGTCTTACTTGCTTCAGATCAAAGGTTATCGGACTGTGAGATACTGCTTGAGGTGAAAGAGGCCGAGTTCTATAGATTGTGTGCTCCTTCTCTTGAGTCATAACTCCAATCAGTCAAATGTAAATGCACAAACAAGATGCACATATCTTTAGACTTTAGACATTGATAGTATGTCCTTGTACCTCCAGAACTTGCCTGAGAATCATCACGTTTTTAAGTTTTATTCAGTATCAGTAATCCAGAGATAGTTTTCCTGACATCCACGGGTACATTACAAACAGGAACTGCCAATTTGCCGAAATGTTACCAAGTATCGGGGCTCAAGCTGATTCCATGGCAACATTTTACATCATGTTTACATCCTGCAAAGCCCCAACGCTATGAGGGGGGGGTCATAAATCATAAACCGTCATAAAGCCTCCTCTATGCAGCCGCCATCTTGGATTATGGATGTCGCCATCTTGAATTTTTGCAACCCCTGAATGGAAGTGAATGCGGAAGAGTGACGTAGAGACGCCAGATACGGCTCTGGTAGCAGCAGCGACCTGTCAATCACAGTAAGCCCGCCCTAAAGCATCCCCTGCTTTATGGTCTGTTTGACCCTAAATGGACCATAATTTACTAAATGAACATCATGCTGTATTGAAGAAGACTTGAAACTTGAGATTGAGACCATAAAGTCATGTTTACAATGTTTACTGAGGTAATAAATCAAGTAAGAAGTAGGGTCCTTTTCTCATAGACTTCCACACATTCGGACTTCTTTTTGCATGAGAGGAGTTATTTAGATTATCCCCAAATCAAAGTAAGACAAAGGATAGGAATACAGGTTACCAAAGCCAATGTAATTGGCTTCGTTCAGGTTGCACTATCGATGTTTTTTGGACAGTATGAATGCTCAGTGAGCGCAGAACACATGCCGCTCCTCACAAGGGTAGGAACACAAGAGCACAGAAACACCAAGGATGTGATTTGCCCTTGTTAAAAAGAATAATCAAACAGTGAAAACAATGTTTTTCTTCCTCGTCAAATTTTGAGCAAATCACTGGCAGCACACAGCCACTACACACACACACACACACACACACACACACACACACACACACACACATCTGTTTGCCCGCATGTAAAACATTCCCCCTCGGAGGAGGGAAAGCCTTGTGTAACCAGATCCAATTGGCCCTTATATAAAATGGAGAAATATGGGCAGAGTGTAGCTCTCTGACGAGCCGCTGAAAGTCTGTGAAATGAATCTGAGTCCGGGGACCAATCGCGCATTCCAGTCGAGGAATGTCAAGACCCCTGGATCCCAGCCTGGTGTTAAAACACAGCCCCACCCCTGTGATACCAAGGGCGGATGTGTCTTGTCACTCACGCAGCTCAGCAACCCTCAGCCTCAGGATGACTCCGTTATTATATAGAACTTTGATGTATGACTGAATCTCTCCCCTCTTGAGATAGAGTCTTTAACAAAACACCTGGGCATGGATGCATTAGTTCTAAACGCCTCCTCTTTGGCTGAATAATCCTCGTTTATAAGGCCAGTGGAGGTTGTTGCCTGGCTTGGGGCAGCACTTAAACTCTGTGAACTGGTGAATACTTGCGTTAAAGCAGCGGCTGTGGCGGCGCAGCTTAATGTAGCGTACTCTGGGCTGTTCCTTCCCTTCTGGCTTTTCACAGTGGCTGTATAATAGTGCGAGAAATGTCTCTAAAGCGCTCAATAACTTGCATCAGTGAGGCACAGCTCGAAATGCTGATGCGTTGTTAGTACAATATATGCGGCCCACGCACAGTTCTCAAATTTTGACCCGATGACTAAATTTGTCATTCAAGGCCTGAGAGAAAATAACAACTCGGTGCGCTCGATGTGTCGGACAAAAGCAGGTAAAAATACTCTTTGTTTTTTGTTTGTTTTTCTTGCAACTGACGTTTCCTTTTTATTTACGCTTTTCAAAACCTGGTGATTCAAAATCAGTGCTTTAAACTTTTTCTGTTTTTTTTCCCACGACTTTTTTATCACACCAGTGGGCCTCTTCCGTGCTCCTCTATGCACTCTCTGCTGCACTGTATAAATGCATTTATCCTGCTTTTGGGGGGAAAACAGCCTTCTCCTGTTTCATATTAACATGAGCCTTAAGCCCGTCATTATAAACACCGTGTGCATTAGACTCCCCCCCGGTTCTTTCGTGACGAAGAATACGAGACTGGCAAGCTTTCTAAGCACAGCTGTGAGTCTGTACCGCTGCCAGTATCCCCTGTGTGGGATGACCTCTGACCTCAGTGAAAATCCAACAGGGGCTGAAGGGGGCTGTTAATGCTCACTGTACAGCTGTGCTTTATTCAAGGTGGGCTGTCTTTGCTCTGCACACTGTTCGCAAATGCAAATGAAATCACGGCGAAATGCTCTTTAGATTGCATCACATTTCATGTGTTTTTCTCAGCAGAAGTGTGATCTGTATGAGAGCAGCATACGTAATCTAATAAAAAACCTCATTGTTAGTTAAAATGAACTATATCTTTCATTTCATTTAAAGTCTCAGTTTAATACACTTATTGTATTAAAGTCTGGGCGCCAACTAAAGATGATTCTCACTATTGAATCATTTGTGATTGTTTTGTCTGCGGTATGTCAGAGAGTAGTGGGAAATGTCCACAGAAAGGTTTTGAGACCTTTTGTGTTTGTGTCTTTAAAATTGCTTTTGTTGCCAAACCAAAAGTCCAAAACCCCAATGTTTTCAATTTATAATTAGGTATTTGGGAAGTTGGGGGAAATGTTAGCTGCTCGAAAACTTGTGAACTTTATTCCACATCATTGGTCCTACTCTCGTTAAGTTGTTGCACAACAACTACAACAACAGAGGAGCTCTTATTCTCTCTGTCGTGAGGTCATTGTCTTGTTTTCTAGAGCGTGGAATGCCCCCCCGGTTGTGGCATGGTGAAAGTCTGCCGCTGTCCGTGTCCTTATTGTATGAACATATGAACAAAGCTTAAAAAACGGCCCTGTTTCCAGCTGTGTGACAATGCTCATCATGTACGAGAACCAACACATACAACTAAACGTAATCCTTGTAGTCTTTCTGCTGAATTCATTTTGGAGCTTTCCTACAGCGAGCGTACTTCTCTTTGATTGACAAGCTAGCAAACACTATGACCATATAATACCTGCAGTTTAAACATGTTATAGCCAAGTCTAAGTGGCACTGTTGACCAGAGTTGAATACTATAGTATTTGCCCCGCGTCTTGTTAAAATGGCCCGGATCAGCATTTGGGTGTCCCGTAATGTTTTCTCTCTCTCTCTCTGCTCTAATAGCCGTGACAGCTCAGGTAACCCTTCTCAGAGCGGCATAAGCCGGCCTGTCAGCAGATTCAGCCTTGTGTTTCCTGGACCCTGTTGATACCCAATACATAATGCCGCACTGGGAAGCCCGTTGCCAGCCTGTAATCCAAGGCATCTTATCAAACCAATCAGCACTTTTCCAGCGAGAACACATCTCGAGCGTGACAGAGGGGGAAGGAGAGGGAACGGGGGGGTGTTTCACAACATCTGGCGCTCGCAGAGAGGGAGGGAGGGAGGGAGGGTGAAAATGAGTGAGAAGAAAGTGTGAGAACAATCTTGATGCTCTGGTATGGAGATTTTAGATCAACACCGCGTTCCGCTTTCTCTTTGGATGCAGGTCAGTGAGAGGGCAGCCGGTTGTCAGTGCTCGCCGGAGGCTGCTCGAAAGTGACGCCATTGATGTTCTCGACGGCAACATTTGTCGCTGGGTTCCCTCACAGAGCCCTCTTTCTCTCAACCATGCTAACCTCTTTCCTTTCCCCCCATTTTGTTCCCATCCTTCCTTCCCCACCAGCCCGGTGCAGCACTGAGAGGTTATCACAGCAGCAAGGCAGCAGCCGCCTGTAGCAGTGGGGGTCAGGGGGCCTGGAGCGGCGCCTCCTACACCCGCACAAGTCTGCAGCACTACCTGTCCCACCACCAACAGTTGCCCCAACCCCAGAGCTTCGCCTACTGCCTGGCGAATACAGCCGTGAGTACAGAAGATATCTTCTTTATCCGCGCCGCTCGATGTCTCTCTGCGTCTCTCTGCACACTTCTGTGCTCTCTCTGTCTCGTTCTCCGTTCTAACCACTCTCTCTCTCTAGTGTCCATTAGCGGCCGTTACTATCAGGAAAGCTCTTTTGCACACAGCAAATTCTCTTCCTCCGCCTCCCTCCCCTCCTTTCTCCGTGCCGTCCCTTTAATCTTTCTCTTTCCCACACTCTTTCTCCCTCGTTGTGTATATCACTTCCCCTCACTATCTCGTCCTCCCTTCTTCCTCTGCTCTATCTCTTCCTTTTAACCCTCTCTCTCTCTCTCTCTCTCTCTCTCTCTCTCTCTCTCTCTCTTCTCTGCAACTTAATTTGTTTTTCTTTCATCCATCGTCTGCAACGACAGCGCAATGAGAGACTAATTGAGGTAGAGGCACTTTTGGACGGCTTCCCTTGTCATTATCCTTGAAATTAATTGCTGTTCGGAATCCGTTTGATTTGACTTTATTGGTGCGATCTGGTTCACTAATGCGTCGTTCGGGGTGTGACTGGAACCCAGGGCTCGAGCCAAATTGAAGAATTTTATTATCGCCGTGATGCTGTCATAGTCGCAGAGCTGGAAACAAAGATTTGGCTCGTTTTCATACCTCTGTATTTCTTCCTCGTATAAATACGTTTACAAGGCTTCACACCAAATCGTTCTCTTTCATTTCCATTACGACACTCTGATATTCTCTCATCTTACATACGCGCCACTTAAATTCCCAGCTGCCTCCTTGCCAACATGTCAAGGCTCCCCCTGAAGCACTTGCATGCAAAGAATGAAGAAATTGGATTTAGATACGATAATCATCACTGTACGTTGGTGCACGCAGCATTCCTTTTATGCTATTCCTGTGACATCAAGGTACACAGTCATTCAGGCCGAGGACATTATCTTTTGAGTGCTGCTTTGTGTCACCAGCAAACCCCACCAATACCGCCTACAGCCAAGCGGAACAGGGGGCGGTTTGAACCGCGTCGTGCGCAAACAGGAAGCAACAACAGAGAACATTCCACAAGACAGACATAAACACCGTGGCTGCGGTTGTAGTTGTAGGCGGAGGGCCCCGGCACATGTTTTTTTGGGAACATCGTGGTCCTGGTCTGGTCTTCGCTGCCACACCCCTCCCGGGGAGCACATCAACATCCTCGCGTGGGAGTGTCTCAAGTTCTTTGACCTGAGCTACTTCAGGCAGTCAGTCTGCGCTAACGTCACATGGCACACTCTTTTTACTGCATTGTGCTGTTCAATGCACTGTAGCCGTGGACTTTATATACACATTGGGTGTATCACAAAGCCAGCTGACAAGAAAACATTCCCCAGATGGATTTGAAACAGACACACTCACTCAAATTCACAGCAGGCACACCTCTGTCTTGCCTTTTTTACCTCTTATTTTCCTTCTATATTTCCACTTTGTTGTCCTCTGGGCTGCCGGTTGGCCACTTTTCTCAGGCAGTACCCGCTTAGCCGGTCTTGGTTTCAGATCACTACGGGGCCATCGAACGCTCGCCCTCATCTTGACCCTCCAGCCTCACACCGTAGCGGACTCCGCTGGCTTAAACTGGCCTGTTTTCATGGGACAGCGGGGATGCTTGTTTTCCTTTCAGCGGTTTTCATTTCGTCCCCACAGAAAGCAATTTCTCCCCCACTATCAAGCCCTCGTCCTGGGCTAAGTCCACACTTTGACCTCAAGGAGGGTTCGCAATGCCGGGAGATGGCTAATCTAGACACTTAACAGTAAACACAGGCATGGTTCCAGCCTCGGAGTCTGCCTCGTGCATTTTGATTGCTTCTCATATGCAACACATACTGTATATGGAACAGTAATCCCCACAATTCACAAACAAACTGATGCAGACTCGCGTCTCTCCTTGTCTCAAACACTCGTCCCATCTATGTCATTGTTTTTATTGCCTGCCTTAAAGCTATTGTAATTTTACGTATATTAGATGCAAAGAATGCCCAGCAGAAAGGGAAGAAAAACAGAACTGATAGCTCAGCATGCGTCTGTCCTCTCGGCTGAGGGAGGTGAGTAAATAAAGGAAGAAAGAAAAGCAAGCAAGGATCCAGCAGAGATCAAGGAGCTTTGCCTCCAGCGGGTTTGTAATTACAATGGAAGCGGATACATTTCCACTCTTAATATGGTGGGATGAGGATCCCTCTGGGGGGGGGGGGGGGGGGGGGG